GAGGGAAAGCATATTTGACTGAGGGGGCCATGCTCCATTTCCAGGAAGTAAAAGAACATGGCAGCTTCGGCCACATGGTTCTGGCTTTAGAGCCAAGAATACAAGAAAGAAATGTGTTCTGGAAACTCCTCTAACAGCTGGAAGCTGGACGCATACACAGAGCTGTGTCTGCAGTCATCTTCATTAGACCAAATATAGACAAGTCTGCATTTGAGACCACTTTCCTGGTGTGAGAAAATGGAAATGAGGAGTTGGGAGGGCTGACAGGCTTAACAAAGACCTTAGATTCTAAACTGTGTGATTTCCTTAAAAATAATCACTTTAACAAGTTCCATTCATAAAATGTTGGTAATTAACCCCTCTCTCTCTTTCTCTGAGTCATACATTAAGAAAATATGTGTTTACTCTGTGCCAGAGTGAGAGCCCTTCCTGGTTTCACTGAATTTAGTTTCCTTACACCCTCAAAATACTTAAAATAATTCCCCAATTTTGTTTGATACAGCTTTGAGTGGATTCCTGTTACTGGCCACCAGAAAATAGCCTTTTTATATTGTTTTACATCTTTATTTATATAAATGGAATGGTGTATGCTGTGATGTGTGTGGAGGTCAAAGAGCAATTTTCAGGAGTCTGATCTCTTCTTTCACAATGTGGGTTTCAGGGATTGAACTCGGGTCATCAGTTTTGTGGCAAGCACCTTCGGCTACTGAACCATCTTACTGGCCCGTTATGTTTTTTTATGAGCCAAGCAAAGTGGTGTATGCTTGTAATGCCAGTACTCTCGAGGCTAAGGCAAGAGAATTGTGAGTTCAAGGACAGCCTGAGCTACATAAAAAAATCATGTATCAAAGGTAGGGAAAGGTATTTTTTTCCTGTAAGAAAAAGCACATAAATCAAACCAAATAAAATACCTACTTCTCACACACGTGCAGTCAGTCCAGAGTGAGTATGGCAGACATCTGATGGGCAGGAGCTCCTGTCTTATGACTTCATCTACTGAGCAAGTGATGTCTACTTTATGATCCATAATAGCTGCTCGGGCTACAATAATTACATCCCTTTCCCAGCCAGCAGAACAGGAAGTAGTGGCAAAAAAGAACACAGCCTTCGATTTAAGGCAACTTATAAACTGTATTGGCCAAGTATAGTTTCTACTGGGTAGCTTTGTGCCTAGCTAGACATCTGCTAACACTAAACCAGAAGGAAAGAAAAAGGGAAGGAGGGAGGGAGGGAGGGAGGGAGGGAGGGAAAGGGGGGAAGGGAAGAAGGAGGAAGAAGGGAGGGGAAGGGACGGAGAGGAGAGGGAGAGAGGAAGGAGAAGGAAGGAAGGGAGGGAAGGGGAGGGAGGGAGAGACAGAGACAGAGACAGAGACAGAGACAGAGAGCACCAGTATCAGAGGTAGCTAGTATTCTCTAGCTCACCATCTGAGGTGATGCTTAGCACAAGAGAAGCAAAGCTGATGTGAGACAAACACGGAGCAAAGATGCTGCAAGTGTAAAGGCTCTCAGTGTGCTCTGAGATGCCAAGCAATCAGAGGAGTTGGCTTGTGGAACAAGTCCAAGTGGGAAGAGAAGCCTAAGAAGACTCAAAAGAGCCACAGACCTTCAGAAAATGTTGTAGTGAGGAACTGCGGGCAGGCCTGCTTTTCATCCTGCCCAGCTCCCACATGGCTAGCTTAGCCCTGGAAATAACAACACACAAATTGTATTCATTTAAACACTGCCTGGGGATAGGGGAGTTCAGCCAATCACATTCTGTTCATGGGGCGTGTCGCCCTTAGGCTAAAATTTACCTATAAACCTGGTGAGTGTGCTTCCGCTAGCTTCCTGCATCCTGATGGATTCTGGTATAAGCTGGTGTAAGTCTTCCTTCTGTTTATTAAAGCTGTATATTTTGTATTAAGATAGTCTGGGGACTTTTCATTACCGATCGCCCTGCGGCATCAGCCTGGCCCATTATCTCTAGAAAGTTAGTTACTGGCTAACTCTCACATCTTGATTAACCCATTTCTAATAATCTGTGTAGCACCACGAGTAGTGGCTTACTGGGAAAGATTCAGCATGTCTGACCTGGTGGCTGGCTCCATGGCATCTGCCTCATTGCCCTCTTCCCAGCATTCTGTTCTGCTTACTCCGCCTACCTAATTTTCTGTCCTATCAAAGGGCCAAAGCAGTCTCTTTATTAACCAATGAAAATAACGCATATACAGAAGGCCCACCTACATCAAAAGGTGACTGTGAAATAGAATGTGCTCCAGACAGGATCTTGTCTCTCACAAATGTGAGCAGGGCTTTTTTCCATTCCCACCCCTTGACAATAAGAAACATCTTCCCGTTTCCTTTACGTGGGGAATTTCCAGCTTGGGAAAAAGAAATTTGAAAGTCATTGTCACCCTTGCACATACACATATTTACACAACGAAATTTTTAATTTTTATTTACGACACATGTTCCATAGAGCCAATCTCTAGAACGGAACATCAGCACAGTGGTGGTCAGTTAGGAGACCTTCCTGATCCTGATTCGGTAGGAGATGGAGACATCACAAACACTACCGACGCCAGCAGGAAATGTGAGCCGCTTGGAAAGGCTCCATACCTGCAGCAGAAGGAGGGAGGAATGCTCCAGTACCTTTGAAGACAGAAGCTGTGTTCTGGTGATCCTTACGTTCTTGGTCAGCCATTTTGCTATTAGCACTCTGAAGGGGCCTCTTCCTCAGGAAGAGCAGGAGTTAACGGCTGTCGATGCTCTTCACGCCCGTGCTCCTAACAGTTTCCAGTTAGGGCAAAGATTAAGCAATGTGTGCAGTTTGCATTGATTTTAATGCAGTTAGCATCCTAGATCTGCGGGATCCTGTTAACGAGCTATCTCAAGGTCAAGGGCTTTGGGGAATTGAAGAATATTCCCACAGGCACACTTATCCACCATGAGAATCCCAAGAGAATGTGCTTTCGTGCTGTTCTGATGAAACAGCAGAGTACGCTGAACTTGAAACCACAGGGGGAAAGGGGCTTTTGTTTCAGGAGGTGAAAATGCTAGCCTTAAAGTAGGTATGAGGAGTGACCCAGAGCTTAGGGGAATTAGGAATTCTGAAGAGTTAGCCTATTTCTCTAGAAATACAGTCCAGATTTTAGAAGAGACATATCCTGACAAACATGAATCATACTTCAAGTTTCTGCAGCTGCTTTTGTACAAAAACCTGACGATGTGTTGAATCACCCATGTGATTCTCCAAAGTGTGCAGGGTGGTTGCCAAAGGAATTTAATCTCGCGGATCTGCAAAGGGGCCATTCTATCAAAGATCTAGTTGGAATTTGAGAAGTAGCATGTGAATCACAAAATTGTCCTAAATTTTAGTCTGCATGGATTTCTTTCATAGCAATACTAAAATCCAGGCAAAAACAACAAAAGAAGTCAAAATTCAGCTATCCTTCACATGAACCCAGTTGAGACAGCTTAACAAGTGTTTAGTTGGGGACATAACTGCATTGTCACTAACGTAGTCCAAATTAGTCAGCAAGTTTCTGGGGGTTTGTTGTTGTTGTTTGTTTGTTTTGTTTTGTTTTGTTTTTTGAGACAAAGTTACTCTGCGCAACAGCCATAGCTGTCCTGGAACTAGTTCTGTAGACCAAGCTGCCCTTGAACTCACAGATAACCATCTGCTTCTTGAAGGCTGGGATTAAAAGCATGCATCACCACCGCCTGGCAAGCTTTATGAGACAATCCTGAGTTCCTGTGTAAACAGTTCTTCCCAGATAAGTGGATACTTGGGGCTGCATGGAATGGGTCCTCGCCCCAGTTTGCTACCAGGAATCCAACTCAAAACCCAAGTGACCCAGAAGATTCTAGAATCTGCCATTGAGGAAAAATGTGGGAAATGGATGAATGTTGTGAAGCCTAGCATTTTATAATGAGTACATTAGTTAAGTATAAGTATAATTGCTCTATCTTTTGAAATTCTGTAATTTTCAATGTATTATAGTTACTAGGCTTCCAGTAAGAGTAAGCCAAAAGCTGTGAGTCATCCTTGATTTGATAGGCTATATTACCACATTTCGATAAACATGGTAGACAAAACCATTTTGAAAGACTTTGTTTTATTCTAAAAATCCATCATTTTAGCCAGGTTGGTGGTGGCTCACATCTTTAGGACCAGTACTCTGGAGGCAGAAGCAAGCAGGTCTCTATGAGTTCGAGGCCAGCCTACTCTACAGAGTAAGTTCCAGGACAGCCAGAGCTACACAGAGAAACCCTGTCTCAAAAGAAACAAAATAATAAAAGTTACTATTATAATTAACATAAAATGATAATTAATTTTAAAAATCCATAATTTTGAATAGCTGACAAATTTAGGCTGCTTCTGTGGGGTCCTGTATGCTGTGACTATGTGTTGTTCTCATTGGTTAATAAATAAAGCTGCTATGGCCTATAATAAGGAAGGCAGAGACAGGTGGGAGGGAAATCCAAGCAGAGATACAGGTGAAGAAGGACAGAGTCAGGGAGATGTCAGGCAGCCATGGAGGAAGCAAGACTTGTAGAAAATAAGGTAATAAGACACGAACCATGTGATAACACATAGATAAGAAATATGGGTTAATTTAAATGTGAGAGCTAGCTAGCAATAAGCCTGAGCCATTGGCCAAACATTTATAGCTAATATAAGCCTCTGAGTGGTTATTTGGGAACTGGAGGGCAGTAGAGAAATCTCCCTTTACAAGCTCCATGCATTTAGATTTCTAACATTTTCTAAAATGTAGATACCACTATTCTGAAGAATTAAAGAGGAGTCCTGCTGTGAAAATGACTGAATATATTCCTGTTTCTTTATATTCAGAAATCATTCTTTTTAATCTTACAGACTAGGACACAATTTTGCTGTCCAGTTTCAAAATCACGGATGAATGTTGAAGAAAGCAGCTGAGATGCAAAAAAAGTTGTGTGGGAGAAAGGAGAGCACAGAGACAGATGGACAGACAGACAGACAGAGAGATCTCAGCAGC